CTCTCATGTAGCTTTTATTCTAGCGAAGAGAAGCAGACAACAAGCAGATTGTCAGATGGAAATAAAATGAAAAAATAAGTAAAATTTTAAAAATTATATGAAGCAGAGAAAGAGGAAAGGAAGTTCTGAATGGACGTGCAATTGTAAATAGTGGCCAGAGAAGGCTTCACTGAGAAGATCACATTTGAGCAAAAAAACTCAAGGAGATGATGGAGGTAGCCTGCAGATAGATATCTGGTCAGAAAGTGTTCCAAGCAAAAGAAACATTAGGTGAAAAACAAAACAAAACACAACAGAACAAACAAAAACAAAAAACAAACCAAAAAAATCAAAGAGGGACTATGTCTGCTGCATTTGGAGAAATTTGTTTGCGTGCTTATGGTAAAATCCAGTGGAAAGGGGGAAAATAATGATTCTGGAGAAAGAGGGGTATTCCTGGAGTGATGTCTTTGAGCAAGTAAGAACAAATTGAATCTAGTGCACTAGTGGAGAAATTAGCCTTCGATAAGCGTGTGAACAGTATAGCCATACTAAGAGGAGATAAGGAAACTATATAAACCAGATAGAGGTATTGGGGTTAAGTAATGAGAGAAGCTTGTGGAAGTTTTCTTTGATTTTTTTTCTGGAAAAAAAAAAGAAGCGAAGCTATAAACAGAGACTAAGAATGATGGAAGAGAAGTCAGAGCTCAATGTCAAAACAAAAAATTTGAAATAGTCTCTTGGAAGAATGAGAGAGTAAATGGACTAGGTAACTATAGTAAGAACACCAGGCAGCATTACAAAGGTCCATTTGAAATGAGTTGTCATTAAACAGACTAGTTCCCATGGATATGTGTTTTTCTCCAACCATGTTCAATTTCATGGGTGCAGGGGCAAAATTATGGAGAAATGAATCTAACCAAGATTGTTCGTTTAATAAATATGATAAAGTGGGAGAAGGGCAAAGAAACCGAGGTTGTATGCAAGATAGTGATTATAATGATCGACCACGGAATTTAACCTGGTAAGGATGAAAGTGAGGCACTAAGGGGGTTTGAGATTGAAAGATGGCGGTAAGATCAATGGACTGTAGGCACTGAGAGATACAAAGATTGTTGGGATCAGGGTACTAGAGGTGAAATAGAAGGATAGGACTGGTGGTTGGACAGTGGGATGGCCAAAATTATGAAGGGATTATAGTAATTGATGATGACAGGGTCTAAGTTATGGCCATGGGCATAAGTGGCAGAGTAGAAGGAAGAACAAGATCATTGGCAGAGAAGAGGTCAAGGTGCCGAAAGGCCAGGTATTTGGAAAATACCATCACTGTGAATATCAAATCACTGAGGACTATGACAGGAGTAACAGTAGAGGAGTTTGCCATGAGCTAGGAGCTAAAACCTTCAAGATATGAGGGAAGAAAGCAGATGCTAGGAGATTAGTGTAAAAAGAAGTGGTAATGAGTGGCATATTCTGATAACATGTGAGGTAAGCCCAGGGAATTGAATCTTCTATTTCCCTTTTCCATGGCCTACCATGATCTGGCTTCTTTTTCCATTGCTCTGTTGAGAATATCTTGAAAGGATGATATCAAATCCTTGATAGAGTGGTATTAAAGTATTAAAAAGGAGGTGTGGTAAATGATGTGATCAAGGTAGACATTTCTTGCAGTAGAGTCTTGGGAGAGAGTCTAATGGAAAGGAATGGAAAATTAAGAACATATCTGGCCTTTGGGACACTGCCCTTTCTCAGCTAGTGAGGGTAGGAAGTGAGATTTGAATAAAAGGGACGAATGAAGTAAGACGGTATTCTGGATTGTTTGTGTGAGCTAAGGCTGTACCTGCTGAGTGATATAGGTTTGCTGGACTGTGTGTACATGGGTCTCCAACAGTGAAAGTACACTGAGTAGAGAATAGTTTTCAACCTTGAGTGTCTTTACTTCACCATGAATCATATCTATGCATGGAGGAGAAAAGAGCTAGCATATTTACTGAAATATCTGCTACAATATCTTTTCAACCCTCATCCCCCTCTCCTCTCTACAGCATTTGATATTTGGAATTACTCCACTCTCCATACGACTTGTTTTGACTCTTGCTTCAGAAATGAGTGGCCCTTGTTTCTACTAATTTTTAAATCTGGAGTTCTTGCCTTAGGAACCACAGACCTCCAAAAATTCGTGGCCAGAACTGTATTTCAGTATAACCAGTGTTCTCTGTAATCCCATGTACTTTATTTTTTGCATTTAAAAAATAGGGCTTCCCTGGTGGCGCAGTGGTTGAGAATCTGCCTGCCAATGCAGACGACACGGGTTCGAGCCCTGGTCTGGGAAGATCCCACATGCCATGGAGCAACTGGGCCCGTGAGCCACAATTACTGAGCCTGCGCATCTGGAGCCTGTGCTCCGCAACAACAGAGGCCGCGATAGTGAGAGGCCTGCGCACCGCGATGAGGAGTGACCCCCACTTGCCACAACTAGAGAAAGCCCATGCACAGAAATGAAGACCCAACACAGCCATAAATAAATAAATAAATAAATATATTGTGTATTATAAAAAAAATAATAATAATAATTCTGAGAACAGGTCCTGCTTGATCAAACAGGCAAAGTGGTCCATGATACACAAAAATGTTAAAAACCTCTGGTTGATAAGTCAGACAGAAAAAGACAAATGCTGTATGTTATCATTTGTATGTGGAATCTAAAAAATAAAACAAAAGAATGTATATAGGGCTTCCCTGGTGGCGCAGTGGTTAAGAACCTGCCTGCCAATGCAGGGGACACGTGTTTGAGCCCTGGTCCCAGAAGATCCCACATGCCTCAGAGCAACTAAGCCCATGCGCCACAATTACTGAGCTTGTGCTCTAGAGCCCTCGAGCCACAACTACTGAGCCCTCATGCCACAACTACTGAAGCCTGTGCGCCTAGAGCCCATGCTCTGCAACAAGAGAAGCCACCGCAATGAGAAGCCCACGTACCGCAATGGAGAGTAGCCCCCACTTGCTGCAACTAGAGAAAGCCCACGTGTAGCAATGAAGACCCAACACAACCAAAAATAAAAACAAATAAATTAATTAATTTTTAAAAAATGAATGAATATAACAGAACAGAAACAGACTTAAAGATATAAGGAACAAATTAGTGGTTACCAGTAGGGAGAGGGAGGGGGAGAGGGACAAGATAGGGGTAGGGGACTAAGAGGTACAAACTACTATGTATTAATACATAAGGTACAAGGGTATATCATACAGCACAGGGATTATAGCCAATATTTTATAATAACTTTAAATGGAATATAATCAATAAAAATTTTGAATCACTATGTTGTACACCTGAAACTAATATTGTACGTCAACTATACTTCAACAAAAATTTTTTAAAACCTCTAGATGAATCCTGATCTTTCTATTGTTTATTGTACATGTTCTCCCTTAACAAACCCAACAATTCCTGAGATTTTTAACCCTCTTCCATCCATTTCCTTTTCAGAAGTCCTCTTTATGGGCCTTACTAGAAGTCCAGCTTCATAATCAACAAACTACCTATATTCCCAAACTTTTCCTAGAACATTCCCACACCTCCTGGCTGTCACGAAACTCCATTTGTCCAATGACCATAACTTTCTCAGTTAAAAATCCAAAAAGCTTTTGACATTCTCCCTTGATCAAGCTACCATTCCTCCTCCATATTAATTTCCTGTTACAGCTATAACAAATTACCTTGAATCTTAAAACAACACAGATTTTTGTTTTAACAATTCTGGAGGTCAGAAGTCTAAAATGAGTGTTACAGGGCTGGACCAAAGTGTTGGTGGGACTGACTCTTTCTGAAAGCTCCAGAAAAGAATCTGTTCCTTGCCTCTTCCAGCTTCTAGAGGTAGCTGGCATTCCTTGGCTTATGGCAGCATCACTCCAATCTCTGCTTCAGACATTGCCTTTTCCCACTTTGTTCTGCTGTGTTCCTCTTATAAGAACCCCTTTGATTATGTTGCCCACCCAGATAATACAGGATAATCTCCCCATCTCAAACTCCTTAATTTAATCACACCTGCAAAATCCCTCTTGCCACATAAGGTGACATATCACACGTTGTGGGGAATAGGACGGGGACATGTTGGGGGTCATTATTCTGCCTACAACACACTCCCATTTCTCTCATCTTTGAATTCTTACCTTTCCTTCCCCCATACTTCTTATTTCAATAAATAGCACTACCATTCATTTTGAATCCTCGGGCTAACTATAGGTTTCCTTCTTTTTCTCACCACTAACTTTAAGAAAGAAATTAACCAAATTCCAGTGCTTGAGCAAATTTTGTTCATCTGCAATATCTTTCTTAATTTTCTACTTTATCCCCAGTCACAGTCACCACCAAACCCCACCCAGATGATGGCAAAAGCCTCCTTGCTGGTCTCCGCTATTGCCTTATTCCTATCCAGTCTCTATACTATAGACAGAATCATACTTTTAAAAATGCAAATTTGATTAAGTCACTCTCGTTTAAAAAATCTTTCAGTGGCTTGTTGTATCTCAATTCAACATAAAGAAATTGGTTCTTCATATTCCCTGTACACTGTGCATGCTGCCTGCAACAGTTGCTTCAACAGAGAGAGCAGGCATTTCTTTAGGTGACCTACACACGTGGATTCTTGAGAAGGGGAAAAGTCGTGCAGGGGTGTATAAGAGCGAAGTTGTGAGAATCCACCGCCTTTGTCTTGTCCCATCCTCACACGCGGAATACATCAAGGAGCTGAAAGCGCTGCCAGATTTTCCTCCTGTACCTGGATCTCTAAGGTGGTCTTTGGGAGTGACACTTGTTAGAAACAATGCAAACTGAGAGTAAACAAGACCTTGCTCACCAAGGGGAAGTTGTGGTCAAAAGCTTTTTGTCCCGGAACCTCCGCCACGCTTCTCAGACCCTGGGAGCGGAACCGGGTGTGTGGTACTTCTCTCGCCTGCACTTTCCCCTGACTTCGATTTTCTCCGAGATCGCATCTGGTTACTAGAGGCCCTTGGGGACGATGGGAGCCACTTCTCCGAGGAGCCGGGAGCCTCTCCTGCCGCCAGCGTTCCCTACCTTCTGTCCCGGAGGAGCCCTCCTGGCGGTTCTGGTGCTGCTCGCGCTGCCGGCGGCCTGGGGTGAGATGCGGGCGGGCGTGGGAGCGGGCGCGGCGGGCACTACCTCGCTGGCCCTCGCGTCCGAAGTGTCTCTTTCCATGCGCCAGGCGCGCGAAAAGGCAAGTCGGCTCCGGGATTCCCCTCTGTGTCCCGGGACCCTGCTGGCACTAGTCGAATTCCTCTCTTCGGGGGGGCTTATGTTGTGCTCAGCGCAGACGATGAACAGGTGCTGCACGGAATTGCTTGCCTTTGTGTTAATACAGAGACTGGCTTATAGCAGTGTGGCGCTGATCACAGGGAAAGAAAGGGGGGTTGGAAATTCGAAAACTTGGGTTCTAATCCTAGAAACATATTAATTGTGAGGAAAGTTACTACACGTGTTTCGTCATCTGTCAATGCGAATACTGATCTCTGTACCTCATGGGGTTGGTACCTAAATGGCATAAAGCGTGTCAAAGGTCTAACACAGGGCCTGCCACTTGATTTCTATCGTCATTACTTCAGCTCTTTGTTCACGAGAGTGTTTGGACAAGCAGTCCAGGGGTTGCAATTATCACCTGAAAAGTGCCCTGCATCCGGCTATATTCACCCCACCCACACCCCAAACAACCACTGCCATCATTACAGATCCCAGGTGCTTGGGGTTAGAAGAGCTAGCTAAGCTGCAGAACCCTCAGTGTAAACGTCACCAGTAGAAGGAGAGTGTAGAGATATTTACATATTGTCCCATTTTAGTCAATTGTTTAGAACAAAACTATCATGAAAATCTTGATGTGGCATCCTCCCTACCTTCCGTTAGCTTCAAACAGGTAAACAAAGATTAGAACCCTTCTCTTCTTATTTTTGGCTTTCCTAGAAGTCTTCTTAGTTGCTTAGACTAATGTCAACATCTTGGTTGAAGAGACAGTCTTTTTTTGTCCAGCCTCTTCTTGACAACTCAGTTTGCTCTTTGCTGTCACTAGACGTTTTGCATTCATTATTATTTATGTATTTATTTATTTATTTGTTTTGCGGTACACGGGCCTCTCACCGCTGCGGCCTCTCCCGCTGCGGAGCACAGGCTCCAGGCTCCGGACGCGCAGGCTCAGCGGCCATGGCTCACGGGCCCAGCTGCTCCGCGGCTCGCGGTATCCTCCCAGACCGGGGCACGAACCCGTGTCCCCTGCATCGGCAGGCGGACTCTCAACCACTGTGCCACCAGGGAAGCCCCCATTCATTATTTGATTGTGGCTTCTCTTCTAAGAGGAAAAGGGAAACCAAGTTTCCAAAGAAATTGCTATTAATATCTTATCTCCTTAGACGTCATAAAAGAACCTGTTCACTGAAGAAATGGGATAAAACCTAAAGCTTTATTTTCAGAAAAGAAGCATGCCAAGTAAGTTAAGCAATCTGTGCTTATAATTTTTGTGGACTTTGTGGCTATCTGGCTCTCTTCTTACTGGAATGTTGTTGTAGCCTGTCCGTGTTTATTAAATTACTATTATAGTACAATCACAGACACTATTTTTTTTTTCAATGTCAATTTATTTTTAATGTAACATTTGTTCAATTTATGGAACTAATTTTTTTAACATCTTTATTGGAGTATAATTGCTTTATAATGTTGTGTTAGTTTCTGCTGCATAACAAAGTGAATCAGCTATATATATACATATAACCTCATATCCCCTTCCTCTTGTGTCTCCCTCCCACCCTCCCTATCCCACCCCTCCAGGTGGTCACAAAGCACCAAGCTGATCTCCCTGTGCTATGCAGCTTCTTCCCACTAGCTATCTATTTTACATTTGGTAGCGTATATATGTCAGTGCTACTCTCTCACTTCATCCCAGCTTACCCTTCCCCCTCCCTGCCAGACACTATTAATTACAAAACAAAATTTCCTAAGGTCATCATAATAACTTCAAAATGTGAAACAGCCTAAACTAAACTATCTAGTAATTTACTTGCCAAAGTAATTTAGCTAAAGAAAATGCTGATGGAATGCAGAGAGTTTGCACAGCACTTTGGAGTTTGCAAGAAATGTAAGAGAGAGCTATGCCTCCAAGGTGTATGCATACAGGGTGGTAGGGTGGTGGGGTTTTATGAAATCTCCTTAATTAGGAGGCCAGGGTTCTGGTTTGTCCAGCCTCTGCTACTTACTAGCTGGGAGCCTTGAACCCAGCAAGTCAATTAACATTCCTGATCTTGAGAGTCCACACATATAAAATAAACATAATTGGCATTCTGCTATCTGAGAGGGTTATTGTAAGAATCAGATGAGATAGTGTGTGTGACAGGGTTTTATAACCTGAAAATCCCCATGGGGATCTACAAAACCATTACTAGGAAGTCACACAAGAGCCTGAAGGCCATGGGGTGATTGAAAAGGGAGATCCAGTGATCTTAACCTGAGTGGAAGGAGCATGGCTTTAACAGCACTAGAGAAGTGAATCCAAAAAAAAAGATTGTAAAGCATGTTTTCACAGGGATATTTATTTTACATAAAAATTAGCACAGTAGTTAAGCATTGCTAGGACCACTTTGGACATGGAGCAGACTCTGGCACCCTCATTTGGTAAATATACATGTTTAAATATATTTAACATTTAAATATACATAATATAACATGTTACATATAAATTAACAATATAATTATGTTATATTCTGTAATATAACATACTGTTTTATATACAAAAATTGTTAAATTTATATTATAAAACATATGCTATATTTATACTGTTATATAACATAGCATGTATGATTACATTGTATATTACAAACATATAATTATATATAATAGCTTTATTAAGTTATATAATATATATTATAATGTAATACCTAATATTAGCTTCTTATAGTTTGTATAGATTATATATAATATATAATATTAATCTATATAATACATAATGTGCATATTAAATATCATATATTATTTAATACCAAAGTATATATTATATTATGCCATATAGAAAATCTAATGTATATTATACATTATAACAAAGTATGTAGTACATATTATATATTATATAATACACCAAATATATAACATTTAATATATATCATAAAATATATAAATATATTTAAATATTTAAATATAAAATATATAAAAAAATTTTAAGTACATGCTCTTTATTTCTTTAACTTAAAGAGTTACTTAAGCAAAACATTTTCAGGTCCCTTCAATAAAGGAGAGTATGCAGTATGGGGAGCAGAACATACTCCAGGTTGTCAGCTCATGTTTGAACAGACATGGAAGAAATAAAGGGTAGTTTGTACTTATAGTATAGAATAAATCAACCTGCCTTGAGTAGAAGTTTTGAGTCAGGTATATTTCAAAGTGGACTGTGTCATCCAAGACAAAAATCACAATGAGATGACACTATACACCCACCAGAATGGCTAAAATTTTAAAAACTCACCATGCCAAGTATTGGCTATAAGGTGAAGTAACTAGAATTATCATACATTGCTCATTGGTAAAATGATACAACCACTTTGGAAACAGAGTTTTGGCAGTTTCTTAAAAAGTTAAACACACATGTATCTAAGCATTTCACTCCTAGGTATTTACTCAAGAGAAATGAAAGCATATGTCCTCATAAAGACTTGTTCATGAATTTTTATAGCGGTTTTATTTGTAACAGCCAACAACTGGAAACAATTCAAAAGTCCTTCAACAGCTGAAAGGGTAAACTAAATTAAGGTGCATTTTTGCAACTGAATGTTATTCAGCAAACAAAACAAAGCAAAACCATGCAAATTTTTATATGCAACACCTGGATTATTCTCAAAATAATTATGCTGTGTGAAAGTTAGACAAAAATAAAAAGTACAAACTGAGTGATTCAGTTTATATAAAATTCTAGAAGTCAGATCAATCTGTGTAAGAGGAAGCAGGTTGGAGATTGCCTAGAGAAGGAGATAGAGAGATGGATGGATTACAAAGAAACATTAGGAAACTGTAGGGAGTGTTATGGAAATGTTTGTTGTCTTGATCATGGTGATCATTTCATGGTGCATACATATGTCAAGAGTCATCAAATTGTACACTTACTGTATTTAATATATCTTAATAAAGGTATACAAAAATTTTTTTTGTAAACTCTTGTAGATCTTGAGTTTACAGAGTTCATATTAATATAGTTATCATAGGAACCAGCCATAATTTGAGGGATTGGCAATGAAGGAGGGAAAAGAAACTAGATCAAGCTTTCTCAGGTGAAGTTTCATATATTCTTTTTTATTTGGGATATTATCCAAATTTGAATTTTTAATTATTCCATATACTATACCCAGAACTCAGGTAAGAATTTTAGGTAATTAAAGGAAAGTAATGCCATTCCAAAAACTATCCATTCCATTTGCTTTTTTGTTTTAGATCTCTGTCTTCTCCTTGTGAGCTTTGCTGTGACATTCAGCCTCTCCTAGTAAAACTTTTGGCACCAGAAGGTCCATTTGGAATCTCTTCCCTTGTCCAGCATCAATGGATGAGATGAATATCAAAATTACACTCATCCCACATATCAACTAAAGAAAAGGTGAAGGCATAACATTTGAAATCACAGGAGTTGTTTTTTACTTGGTAGCTTTTTCCTGTTTGTCACGGTGGTTCTCAAAGTGCTGTTATCTATCAAAATCACCTGTGAAGCTTTTTAAAAAGATAATTTTGTGGGCTGTAACCCACAACCACTGAATTAGAGCTTTTAGGGATATAGCCCGGACTCTTGATATTTTTGTTTTGTAGGTAATTCATCATTCATCTATTCATTGCAACAAATATGCACAGACTGCTTATAATTGAGTGCTAGGCACCTGGACTAGGTATTAGTTTAGAGGAGCAAAAATCATGGGGCTTCTTGCCTTCATATTATGCATGTCTAATATGCATGTCTAATACCTATTGAGAGAAATAGATATTTTTAAAAGCACATAAATATAAAAAACACAACTTATAGTAAGTGATATAAAAGGAAAAGTAAAGCGTCCAATTAGACATTATTATGGGGGTGGGCAGAGGGCAGTAGTCCAGATCCAAAATCCCT